AAAGCCCCCTCACTCCTCCCCCCCCAGCACCGACCCCTCTTCAACCCCACAATCCTTGCTCTCCCCTCCATGAATTGCCCCCCTCAGAACGATGCTCCTCATGGGATGGCCCCCTCTTCCCCCAAAACTGCCCCTCAGGGATCGCTCCCCTTGACACCCCCTAAAGCGCTCCGCAAGCGGTTGCCCCTTTATCCCCCAGAACTGCCCCTCAGGTCACTGTCCCCCTCACCCCACAAAACTGCTCCTCGGGGATCACCCCCTCATCCCCCAAACTGCCCTTCAGGGATCGACCCTTCCTCAGAGACGGCCCCTCACCCCCCTCAGAGATGGCTCCTCATCCCCCTCAGGGATTGCCCCCTCCTCAGAGATGGCTCCTCATCCCCCTCGGGGATCGGCCCTTCAACCCCCTCAGAGATGGCTCCTCATCCCCCTCGGGGATCGGCCCTTCAACCCCCTCAGAGATGGCTCCTCATCCCCCTCGGGGATCGGCCCTTCAACCCCCTCAGAGATGGCTCCTCATCCCCCTCGGGGATCGGCCCTTCAACCCCCTCAGAGATGGCTCCTCATCCCCCTCGGGGATCGGCCCTTCAACCCCCTCAGAGATGGCTCCTCATCCCCCTCGGGGATCGGCCCTTCAACCCCCTCAGAGATGGCTCCTCATCCCCCTCGGGGATCGGCCCTTCAACCCCCTCAGAGATGGCTCCTCATCCCCCTCGGGGATCGGCCCTTCAACCCCCTCAGAGATGGCTCCTCATCCCCCTCGGGGATCGGCCCTTCAACCCCCTCAGAGATGGCTCCTCATCCCCCTCGGGGATCGGCCCTTCAACCCCCTCAGAGATGGCTCCTCATCCCCCTCGGGGATCGGCCCTTCAACCCCCTCAGAGATGGCTCCTCATCCCCCTCGGGGATCGGCCCTTCAACCCCCTCAGAGATGGCTCCTCATCCCCCTCGGGGATCGGCCCTTCAACCCCCTCAGAGATGGCTCCTCATCCCCCTCGGGGATCGGCCCTTCAACCCCCTCAGAGATGGCTCCTCATCCCCCTCGGGGATCGGCCCTTCAACCCCCTCAGAGATGGCTCCTCATCCCCCTCGGGGATCGGCCCTTCAACCCCCTCAGAGATGGCTCCTCATCCCCCTCGGGGATCGGCCCTTCAACCCCCTCAGAGATGGCTCCTCATCCCCCTCGGGGATCGGCCCTTCAACCCCCTCAGAGATGGCTCCTCATCCCCCTCGGGGATCGGCCCTTCAACCCCCTCAGAGATGGCTCCTCATCCCCCTCGGGGATCGGCCCTTCAACCCCCTCAGAGATGGCTCCTCATCCCCCTCGGGGATCGGCCCTTCAACCCCCTCAGAGATGGCTCCTCATCCCCCTCGGGGATCGGCCCTTCAACCCCCTCAGAGATGGCTCCTCATCCCCCTCGGGGATCGGCCCTTCAACCCCCTCAGAGATGGCTCCTCATCCCCCTCGGGGATCGGCCCTTCAACCCCCTCAGAGATGGCTCCTCATCCCCCTCGGGGATCGGCCCTTCAACCCCCTCAGAGATGGCTCCTCATCCCCCTCGGGGATCGGCCCTTCAACCCCCTCAGAGATGGCTCCTCATCCCCCTCGGGGATCGGCCCTTCAACCCCCTCAGAGATGGCTCCTCATCCCCCTCGGGGATCGGCCCTTCAACCCCCTCAGAGATGGCTCCTCATCCCCCTCGGGGATCGGCCCTTCAACCCCCTCAGAGATGGCTCCTCATCCCCCTCGGGGATCGGCCCTTCAACCCCCTCAGAGATGGCTCCTCATCCCCCTCGGGGATCGGCCCTTCAACCCCCTCAGAGATGGCTTTTTAAAAATAACCTTTACCCAATCTTTTCTGAAGCCCTATATTTTGAGGGCTAATCCGCCGCTGTAAAACAAAGCGCCGTGATTCTGGAAGAGCTGTGTTGAGAGTGACATCTGGGCGTGAGGTCCCCAGCCGGGGTTGAAGGCTGAGCTGCCATTTGAGAGTTGCAGCACTGAACTGCTCGATCGCTGCGGAGCTGGGGTTTGCCTGCGCCTGGAGAACACAAAACCGATGTGGCCGGTTGTCATTTGGCTGCTCCTTTGGGCAGGTGCGGCGACGATCGACGCGTGCCACTCGCAACCCACCGCTCTGGGAAGTGCCTTCGCGGCTGCTCGGCCGCACCGACAGCGGATGAAAGAGCCTTTCGCTCAGAGATGGGTCCTGCTTTAACTGGGGTGGGGGGAGGCTTGGCGTACTGAGAAGAGGTGTTTGGCAAAGGGAGCTTCGCTCCAGACTGTTTCGAACTATTGCTTTCCTCATCCTTGCTCGCTCTCCTGGATTTTTCCCCTTTAGATTTCCCTTTTTCTCTCTCTTTCTGAGGGAAACACACTTGTTCGAGGCTGGTTTGAGCATTTGGGGTGTCAGTTCTGTTCTTTTATAATTTGAAGCTTAATTAGTATTGGAGTAAGCTTGCTCCTGTCCTGAGAACTAGGCTTACTAGGTGGGGAGGGGCAACGTTCAGCCCAGAAATAAATGGAAAATAAATGAAGGTTTTTTTTAATAAAAAAAAAAAAACCAGCCCCAAAGTGATAACGCTGCTTAATTGCTCTGAAATCCATCTGGTGCTCTGGGTGGTAAAGATAGAATAGAGTGTGTCATGCCGTGACATCCCACTTACGGATTATATAGATTTTACTAAAAACTTGCCTGTATGATATTACAGTTGGGATATCCTGATGCTTCGTGAAGTACCGTGGTTATTTCAGAAACGCAGAGCTTAAAATAAAACCACCCAGACCCCTTCTGTGCTCAGTTCTCCCACAGCAGCCTGACAGCAGAAGATCCTTTGCGCTGGAATTGAGTTGCAAAGCGACCATGAATTTAATTCGAGAGGCACTGCATTGCTTCGGCAACCAGGGGCAGGTGTTGCTGCTTTGGTGCTCGGTGTCTGAAATAGTGCCCAGTTAACAGGTAAGCATTTCTAGTCAGGTTTTATTGTGTTAATTTTCAGACCGGGCCAGGTATACAGCGTGGCTGCAGCAGGAGTGTGTCCTAAATTGGGTTCTTGGACAGCAGTTAGTGGTACCTTGAGGAGTGGTCTGCAATGCCATGCTGTCATCGCTGGTACGGCTGCGTGGTGCGTTAGAAATGGCCAGCTTTGGCAGCAAACCGGTGAGCACAGCTAACCCGAGAGCCGCGGTCCTGCAGGCGCTGGGGGTGGCCGTGACGCGGCTGCCCGGTTGGGCTCCTCCGGGAAGGAGCCGAGCGGAGGTGGAGTGTTTGTAGGTTGAGGTCGTTAAATCGCATCTATGCCGAGCGATCGCAGGTGATGTCGTCCGCGTGTGGTGGTGCAGGGAGGAGGTTTCTGAGCATGATATAGCTGTAGGTTCAGGTCTCTTTCTAGGAGAATCTGGCAAGTCCAGCAGTCCGTACAAAGCTGTAGGAGCAGACAACAGATAACTCACATGGCAATGAAGAGCAAACACTCATTTTGTGTGTGAAAGCCCTGTTTGTAGAGAAATGGCTTAAGTGGCTGTGCTGGGTTGGACTGAAGGCTCATCTCTGCAAGCATCTGTCCTGTGAAGCATCTGCAGCTCTGAGATCAGATGTTTTCCACCTTCAGGAGGCTCCAGACCCTGCAGAAGTCGCTTGCCCACCCTGGAGCAAGCTCAGTCTCTGAGCCTGGAGCTCATTCCCTCTTGCTGCTGAATCAGCCATGAAGAAGATGGAACAGCCCTAAGTTTTTCTGGTGTCAAGGCTAACAAATGCCGGACCAAGCAGGCTGCCTCGAAGCTTCTCAGTGCCAACATGGCCACGGTCAACGCGCTGATTAGGCCCGGCAGTGAGAGGGAAGGGATGGGGTTTTTTTTGTCCTTTTCCAGTTCTGCTTTGTTGACCACAACATCAGTGAGATTAGAAACCTCTAAACCTCATCAGCCAGGAGCTGCATGGGTGTGATAATTAAGCTTGTTAATTGGCCAGAAAACATGACCCAGAAGGGAACAGGGCAAGCATATGGCGATGCACCCCCGTGTATACTCCAGCCTGGGAGGTCTGCAGCTTCGGGACAGTCTGAGTAGGTTTTTGGCTGCTGTTTCCAGGCCTCTCTCGTCTGAGCTCG